TTAAAAAAAAAAAAAAAAAAGAATATCTCAAGTTTAGGATAACCCACATAATTAAAACTTGGTTAAGAGTCTTCTTTGTCAGTCTTCTATAACATCACAATTTCTTGACTTTCTCCACTGACTGGCTTTCGAATAATGTTTTTTTTTATATTGCGTCAGGATTGCGTGACAGTGCAAGCCAAGAATTAATCTCATCAAATCCCATGTAACGTTGTCAATCAGCAGTGATCATCTCATTTGTAGTTTTGCCTAACAGCATGCGCAAACTTAGAGCTCAAGAATAACCTGGAACGTCAACTTAAAACGAAAATGCTGCTTTTGATTGATCCTACTCAACGGATCCACAGATTTAACGAGTAGGACCGGGATGGAGTGAAAGCTGGGAGAGCATTATACCCAAAGTCATATTCAATGTTGTCCTGATATCGCCCCGAGTAATCATCGTCAATGAATGATGCCTTGCCAGCCTCAGTTATTCCAATACCGTGATCAGCACGTTGACAACTTCCTCCTCCTCCACCAATCATCATCACTGATCCATCACCGTCACTCCAGTCATACCAGAAGCCGATGTTGTTGGCGCTTTGGATGTTTCCACTGCACTCAGCCTGTTGAAACCCGTCTGTTGACTTGTACTGACCGCCATATTGAACCGTGCAGCCTCCCAGGCACTGGTCACTTGCCCAAACTTTGCCATATCTAAAGTCGCCATAACTCGTGATTTTTGATCGGAATGTTTGTCCAGCCAAACAGTTAGCTGTGGTCTGTAACAAAGGAGTGTGACTGGGGTCATCACTGCGCGTGATCTTAAACTCCCTGCCGCTGACTAACCAAAAGGCTGGTGAGATCATGTCAGAGTTAATGGATGGATTAGTTGTTGTTCCCATGGCAACTTGTTGGTCATACCACCATCTGCCATCGTCATTCATCCAGTTCTTGTTGTCATTATTTGAGAATCTCGCAACAAGACTCCATCCTTTGCCATCTGATGCCATGTCACAATAAACCTATTACGAGAAACGATTTTTGTCTAAAGCAACGATTTAAGGACGGTGCCTCCTAAATACAAAGGTTTTTATGCCAGGTTAGGACCATGCGGAAAAAGTAGATCTTGTCAAGGGCTACAGGTATCCACAAGGAAAACTGCGGGTAGCCACGCATTTTTTCGAGATAATTAGCCTTGAATCTCAACAAAAATGCTGACATCAACACTTTTCTGAAGAAAGAAGAAAAGAATATTTCCTCAGAGATTTCCTTAGAATTCGCCTTTCCATACAGAAAAGCAAACACATTTATAAAGACCTAAAACTGCATGGTAAATGTAACATAAAACCATTTTTTATATGTTTTTAATAACAAAATCGTTGCAACAAAGCTCTTAGCGTCTCTGACAGCCTTCCTCGGGTTCAG